GCCTTGCCTCTTAAATGCAATCTCTTTCATTCTGCTAAATTTAAGATTATCTAGGCTTTCAACTTCCACCTCAGCCTACATAACAAAATCATATAATGTCTTATGAATTACCAACCACGCTCCTTATTTTGTTCTCTAAAGAACAACTGACATAATTCGGTCCTATTCCAATGTGAAATTACAAGAATGCCATTGATAAGTGAAATTACCTTAGATAGAGTGCTAGTGATAGTACACACAGGATAAGTCTTTAGTGCTGGTTTTGGCTGACATTCATAGCATTCAGTCTGGCCCTTGATGTGAGCAGTGACCTGTAAACAAATTAAACAAATTTTTCTCATCACAACCAATTAAAGAAACATCAAAAAAATATGGCATAATTTTTTTAGTATGCTTCTATCTATAAAGAAAATATTTTTTTATAAACCATGAACATTTTTTTATAGTAACAATACAATACACTAAACAAGCCTATGAGATTTACATGGGGTTGATAAGGGCTCACTTCATCTGAAAGAAGCTTTCCATTTGAATCCATTTGACTGACTATAAGTTTAGTACAGTTGGTTATGCCAGTTTCTTTTAAGATGTCTAAGGTATGCTTCCATTAAAAGATAAAGACATCAAAAGACACGTTGCATTTGTGCATATATGATTGAAATTGTTTAAGTAAAGTTTCTTTGCTTTCTACCAAACTTCATAGCAAGAATGATATTAGCTAATTTACAGCCAGTATTAGTTGATTTTCAGCAAATATTCAACATAGAGTCATAGACTAAGCCAACTAACCTAGCCATAAGCTAAAATCGTTGTGGATAAAATAACAAGAAGCTTCATGAGTATTATATGATGTACACATAGAGAAACAGAAAAGATGAAATGATCAAAACAAGAAAGCGTGGTATGAAGTAAAGTGGAAAATTGTAAAGAAACAGAACGACACTATAAGGTTATTGACATATCAAAAGAGAAAGAAGAAATGAACTAGAGACAGGTGGCAACTTTGGGAGCAAATCAAGGCTTTAAATTTTAAAAAACTGAAGAATAAGCTTAACTGCAGTTACCTGTCCCAAAAAGCCAGTAGTGCCACTTTCCACCAAGGTTTTTTTCCCTGTTAACTTCTGTATGGCTGAATGGGTAATGTTGTCTATTTGGATAAAGTGTTGTATAAATAAGGTATGTTTCTTTTCTAGACTTAATAAACAATCTGAATGAGACTATATGACCATTTTAACTTTACATTCTAAAAAACAAATTTCACAATATTCATCAATTTTAATGTGAGATGGGTTGGGAAGAACAAGAATTGAATAGCCGTACAGGGTTAGTATCTTAATACATTAAGTCAGTTTTTTTTTGGCTTAACCCCTTGAGTCATTATATTTGAATTAAGTAAAAAAAATCCATCCATGTATAGCTGTCCAGATTAACTGCTTAACCCATTCAATCCATATATTAGCTGAGTTGCTAACTCTTGAAGCTGCAAAACAGAAAGAAAACATGTCATAATATGATTTTAGGAGAGACATAAGGAGTTGGAAAATGCCATACCTTCTTTAACCTCTGCTTCTTATCTTCTTTTAAAGCTATAACCGTTTTAGCAAGCCTAGCTAGGGTGTCATTGCTTATTACAATAGGGACTCCACTGGACAAATGATTTAGTATCATTACTTATCACTAAATCAACATAACTTTAACACGGTAAATAACAATCCAAGTAAGTAAAAGTTGTAAAACTAAAACTTATGATATATATATATATATATATATATATATATATATATATATATATATATGTATATATATATATATATATATATATATATATATATATATATATATACACATATATATATCTAACATTTTTATAAAAAGTGAGGAAAACTCCCCACCCATACTAATCAAATAGAAAGTAAACCTTTATTTGTTAAGAATCACTAGCAGTCCAATTGCTCCAATATTTGGCTTCTCTTGAATAGTTAATTTGTTTAGGAACTTGTATTGCATTTTACTAATGGCTAATAAACAATGAGTATGAAAAGGATCATATCTTCATTAGATACTTCAAACTTCGTAAGTGTGAAAAGTATGCTTCTAATCACCCTTCCACTACTCCCCTGACCCTCCCTTTGTTTTGGAGCATCAGAACCATGGGAATTTTTCACAGATGACAAACCACTGCTTATCTGAAAATGGTAGTTATTACTTAATTATTTATTACTATTCTTTTTTCTTTTTAAATTAATAAAAGAGTTAGCCATTCAAAACTTACAAGGGGTTTTTCCTTTTCTTTTCCCTTCAACAACAGAATCTTCTTTTTCCCAATATCAGGAGTTCCAGAAGAACCTTCACAAATTTATAAATTAATTTTGGAGAAAAAAAGAGTGATGAGTAATAATATATAATATACCTCGTCCTTCCTCCATTACAACACTTACAGAAACAGGCTGTTGATCATCACGTTTGTGGACCTGAACATATGTTGACTTTTCTTTACCACTTCTACCCTTCCAACCAGTATCCCTTGGGACATACTGTTTTAATAACATTAATACCCATTAAAACATGTTAAAATTTTAATCTTTATTATGTTAAAAGATTCAGATACCATGATAACGATGCACCACTAGCATTACCTTGAAAACCAAAGTTTAACTTAAATTAAATGTTAATTTAGATCTTATTGTTATTATTATTATTATTATTATTATTATTATTATTATTATTATTATTATTATTATTATTATTTCAAGATTTAAAACTAACCAGCTCGTTCGACTTCCTTTCTTTCCAATTGTATCTCTGCACTAGGAAGATTCTACGAATACCAGTAGTTTCAGGTTTAGAGCTCTCGGAGCCAGCTAGATCTATGAGGTTCTGCAAAACGAGTCAAAATGACGATAATACCCCTGGAAATATGTCTAAAATGAGGTTCAGGGGGTATACCAATTGCGACAAGTTGACAGCCTCACATGGAAATATGTCTAAAATGAGGTTCAGGGGCATAACAGTCAAAATGACGATAATACCCTTTTTTTGGAAGATATGCAAGCTGCTCATTTATCAGATCATTCAAGGTCCTGCTCATTTATCATTTCCAAACACACCCAACAAGGGCTGTTTGACACTCATGCTAACTATCACCTTAATAATAATAATAACAATAATAATAACAATAATAATAATAATAATAATAATAATAATAATAATAATAATAGCAATAAAAATAATAAGAGTAATAACATTAAATTTTATAGCATGGATAAAAAGGGGGGAGAGAGAGATACTTGCAACTGGCTCTGAATAACATCTACCTTCAATTCCTGAAACAGATTACAACAATAAACATAATCATGTACAGCAATTGTAATAATCACAATGAGTTTTTTAATAATAATAATAATAATAATAATAATAATAGTAATCATAATAATAAAATAGCAATAAAAATAATAAGAGTAATAACAATAAATTTTATAGCATGGATAAAAAAGAGGGAGAGAGAGATACTTGCAACTGGCTCTGAATAACATCTAGCTTCAATTCCTGAAACAAACTACAACAATAAACATAATTATGTACAACAATTGTAATAATCACAATGAGTTTTTTAATTTTAACATTCTACTTTACAAATTTTAGGTTGTAGGTTTTAGGTTTTCAGTTTTGAATTTTGATATGAGGTGCGCTACTATTGTAATAATCTTTGATTTTTTAACTTAACATTCTCTTCTGTAAATACAAGTCTTATTTACCAAATGTAAGTAAGTTGTTCAACATATGATAGGTTATAAATCAACATTAAGTTTTTAGGAGCATGGAATTAATATGCAATCATACTTGATCTTGGAGTGCTTGTTTAAGCTAGGAAATCAATGAGGTTCTGGTCCTTTCAGCAGTTTCAAGTTGGGCCACACATTCTTCAAGTACATTTTCTTACTCATGTATCTCTTATACCAATGAAGCTCCTAGTACAACTACTGAAAACAAAAAACATATTTATAGATAAACATCAGGAACAATACACCAATCATGTCTACAACCATGGTTGTATTGTCCTTTTTGTCCACTCCCACCCAAAAAGATTGAACACAGTGGGATTTTAAATGTGCAAAAGATGTAAACGCCCTCATCAAGCACTATTTTAAATTCTATAGCAACTTATCATGTACCGCATGCATAGCAGTCATTATCTTTTCTGGGATATCCCCACTACCAATTTTTGCAAGATTTCATTCATTTTATTTTACCAATATTATTAAATACTCATATCAAATCAAGCCAAACAGATGTTACAATACACACACACACACACACACATATATATATATATATATATATATATATATATATATATATATATAAGAAAGGAAGCGAAATCTGGTACTCACAAGTCTCAATGAGTTGGGATCCCTTTTCACTATCTTGATGGGGTTAGGAGTAGAAGTAAAAGTCTTTCCATTGGTAGTCAATGGAGTGCTCTATTTTTTAATTTTCCTTTACAAACATCTGTTAATATATCTTTCTGTAAAAGACTAAACTACCCCTAATAACATGTTGGAAAAATTTTAATAGTATAAAAAAAAGACTAAACTACCCCTAATAACATGCTGAAAAAGTAATATGAACAACATGCAATCCTGAACTACCAAAAAAAGAAAACAATGATTTATACTAATAACATGCTGACAAAGTAATTTACTAAATAATTAAATAAATAAAAATACCTGGATGTTGAAAAACTACAGTTTTTTTTGTAAAGGATTGGCCCCTGAACATGTATTTGACATCTGATTGCCCCTGAACAGTTTTTTTGTCAAGATTTGTCCCTGTACAGTTTTTTTGTCCCTATAAAGTTTTGGCCCATGTAAAGTTTTTTTGTTCCAGTATAGTTTTGGCCACTGTACAGTTTTGTTTTTGCACAGTTTTTGTCCCTAAACATGCGTAATCATTGTTTCTTTAAATGGTAAATAATTATGTAGGTTGGAAACAAATGTTTAATGGATAAATCATGGATTTCCTCTAATAGATTATCAAATGCATATGATGAAGGTGTGAATGCTTTTCTAGAGTTTGCACAAAGTAATAATCCAAAGTTAGATGTTATTCCATGCCCTTGTGTAAATTGCATCAATTTGTGTCACCACTCAATTGGCAATGTCTGTTATCATTTGTTTGCCCACGGCTTCGATGAGAATTATAAGATTTGGTCTTTCCATGGAGAAAAACAACCCAAGAGTGATTCTAGATGCCCTAACAATTCCATTCCTCTTGATGCTATTTATACAAAGGATATGCTACATGATGCCTTCAAATATGTAGACGAAGAACTTGATTCGTTGAAATCACTTCTTGAAGAATGTGATAAGCCACCTTATGTAGGGTCAAAGTATAATTCACTTAGTGGATTATTGAAATTCCAACATTTGAAGGGTCAGTTTGGATGGTCTGATGCTAGTTTTGATGCTTTGTTGTCTGTCCTAAAAGATATCTTACCATCAAACAATATCATCCCTAGCTCGATATATGAGTCCAAGAAGTTGCTAAAAGGAGTAGGTCTACAATATGAGAAGATTCATGCATGTGAAAATGATTGTGTTCTATTTTGGAAAGAACATAAAGATGCTTCTCAATATCCAACTTGTGGCACTTCTCGTTGGAAGAAGAATACCAAAAACGTACCTTCAAAAGTTTTGTGGTATTTTCCTATTATCCCTAGATTTAGAAGAATGTTTTCAATACCATAAATTTCACATGACTTAACTTGGCATGCACAAGGTCGGGTAAATAATGTGAAGCTTACTCATCCTCGTGATACCCCTTCTTGGAAGCTTGTTGATAACACGTGGAAAGAATTCAGACAAGAAAAACGAAATATTAGATTAGCGTTTTCTGCTGATGGTATCAATCCTCACAAGTCATTAAGTTCCAAGCATAGTTGTTGGCCGGTTATCCTAATAACATATAATCTACCCCCTTATTTGTGTATGTCAAGAAAATTCATGATGTTGACTCTGTTGATATCCGGGCCAAACCGACCTGGTAACAATATTGATGTCTACTTGGCACCATTGATAGAAGATCTAAAGCTCTTGTGGGAAACTGGCTTTGAGACTTTTGGTTCTTATAAGAAAGAATACTTCAATCTAAGAGCAATATTACTTTGGACTATAAGTGACTTTCCCGCATATGGTAATCTTTCACGGTGTGTTACCAAAGGTTATTATGCTTGTCCAATATGTTCAAAGAATACTTGTTCACAATGTTTGCCAAAGTCCAAAAAAGTATGCTTACTTGGGCATAGAAGATTCCAACCACTTGAACATCCTTTTCGTAAAAGAAAAAAAACATTTCAACAATCAACAGGAGCACGATTTTATGCCACAACCATCATCAGGTGAAGATATTTATGACTATCTGGTGGGATTTGAGACTACATGGGGTAAGAAGATAAAGTCAAAGAAGGTAGGATCAAAGAAGATAAAGTCAAAGAAGGGAGTGTCAAAGAAGGAAACGCCAAAGAAGGAAAAGTCAAAAAAGAAAAAAGAAAGTATCGACGAGAGATCTAAATTTTGGCATAAAAAGTCAATATTGTTTGAACTTGAATATTGGAAGAAGTTGCCTGTTCGCCATCAGTTAGATCTCATGTACATACAAAAAAATGTGACCGATAGTCTTTATTGGACGGCGTTGGATTTGCCTCACAAGACGAAGGATGGATTAAAAGCACGACAAGATCTTGAAGCGTTGGGCATTAAGACTGAATTACGACCTCAACCAAAAGGGGATCGACATTGGATTCCGCCTGCCAAGTACACATTGAATTCCGCAGAGAAACATCTATTTTATGATACACTGTCTAACATAAAAGTTCCTCATGGGTATTGCTCTAATTTCAAGAATCTCGTGTCGGATGATGTTTCAAAGATGAATGGTTTGAAGTCTAATGATTGTCATGTACTAATGCAACAATTTCTCCATTTTGCAATCAAAGGGGTGTTAGATGTGAAGGTACGGAGAACAATCCTAAGCCTGTGACATTTTTTCAATGAGTTGTGTAGTGAAGTAGTTGATGTTAGTAAGCTAGGCAAGTTGCAAAGTGACATCATATTGACATTATGTTTGTTAGAGAAGTACTTCCTCCTTTATTTTTCAATGTCATGACTCACTTGATGGTGCATTTAGTTAGAGAAGTGAGGTTGTGTGGCCTTTTCATTTTAGGTGGATGTATCCATTTGAAAGAAACATGAAAACACTTAAAGGGTATGTAAGAAATCATCATCGACCCGAGGGTTGCATTGCAGAGTGTTAGGTGGTGGAGGAGGCCTTAGAATTTTGTTCAGACTACTTAAAAAACATGAAATCAATTGGCAATCCTCATGAACGTGTTGATGAAAGAATCCGCAGCGGCAAGCCATTATCAAAGGCTACAATCGATGTTGTAGATGCTCAGTTACTTGATCAAGCTCATCTTTATGTATTACGAAACACTGCTGTTGTGGAGCCATATATAGAGTAATAATTACATGAAACTGTATACTCTTAAACCATTATCTATCATATAAAACATTCTTCTAACTTGTAATACACTTCAGGCAACATATGTTGGAATTGAAGGATCGCAACCCCCGTCACGCTCGCAAGAGTACATGGTTGCAGAGCCAACATAATCAGACATTTATTAGTTGGTTTAAGAAAGAGGTTTATTTTGAAAATAAGATTGTTAGAATTACAATATTTTTAATAATTTTTTTTGAATTACATTAATTAGATATTTTTCTAATAGGTTGGAAAACGTTTGGCTAACGGGGAAGATATTTGTGATGATGTTCGTTGGTTGGCCAAAGGGCCTAATTTTGCGGTTAGTAAATATAGCGATTTTGCCATAAATGAGTATCATTTTCATACAACATCTCGAGATGAGTCTAGAACAACTCAATGTAGTGGAGTATCTTTACTTGCACATACTATGCAGATTGCTAGTGCAAAAGACTCCAATCTTGTGTATGGTGTTGTTACTTACTTCGGTCGTATAAAGGAGATATGGGATCTTGATTATCGAATGTTTACTATTCCTGTATTCATGTGTGATTGGGTTGATAGTCGTGGAGTAAAAAGGGATGATTTAGGATTCACGGTAGTTAACTTTGATAGGCTTGGTCATAAGTCTGAACCCTTCGTATTAGCTAGTCAAGTCAAACAGGTTTTTTATGTTCAAGATCAACAAGATGAGAATTTGCATGTTGTCGGATTCACACCACATAGGATGTACAAGTATGGATCAAATGGTGAAACTGATGATATGTTGGAATTTGATGCTACTTTTGATTTAACACAAGACTCCGCTTTATTAGACCTTGATGATGATTTTTTGTGTACGCGCCCGAATGGCAAGGGCATATTAGTTTAAATATTTTTTTGCAGAATAATAAAGTTTTTGGTATGTTTTTATTTCAGATTTTGAATGTGATTAATTTTTTTCCAACTACAACAAATAACAATGTACTTAATTTTATTTGAATCTTGTTGAAACAGGTTGTGTTTTTGTGACATGTAATCGGATTCAGCTTCTGATCATGATGAGGACTCCAAACAAAGAGGTCCAGCAACAAAGGCAAAAGCTAATAAATTTAAACTTGTAGTCACTTACAATAAAAAAGGTGTCCCGGTTGGAAAGGAAGCCACAAAACTGTCTACTTTTGAGGGTTTGGTTGCAAGAACAATTGTTCCCATAACCTATGAGTCCTGGTTGGAAGGGTTAAGGCAATATGTTTTGGTAAATCTCTGTTTCTCCCTGTTATTACCTTTGTTCAGATCTGTTTTTGTCCCCGTTTTTTAACCAAGTTATATTATCCACTGTTTTTGTTTTTGTCCCTCTTCAGATCTATTTTTGTCCTTGGTTATGGACTAACCCTTTTTTTATGTTTTAGGAAAAGTTTGTAGTGACCTAAAGAGCCGGAAGCAAACTCTCCAATCGATCGGGAAGAAGTGGAGAAATTTCAAACATTATTTATATGCCAAGTTCATTAAGAACCAAAGTAAGGATCCCAAGGCAAATCTATTCAAACCTCCGAAAGATTATCCATTTATAAAGAAAGAAGACTGGAAAGTTTTTGTATCCCATAGGGTTACAAAAAAGTGGGAGGTTTGTTAAACTTTTCTTATATGCATTTGTATCCCATAGAATTACAAAAAAGTGGAAAGTTAAAAGTTTGTAGTTACAATTTTAATGTTTCTAATGCAGGAGAAAAGTACGAAAGCTAAAAATACCCGTGCACATCATAACTACAATCATCGTTTGAGCAGAAAGGGATATGTCGGACTCATTAATGACATTGTATGATTCCCACTAAGTATTGATTATTTTATTTGTATATATTTATGTTAATTGACTTTGTTATTCTTGATAATTTAGCTACAAGAAACCGGCAAGACGGAACAGGAGATTGATAGGAAACTGTTGTGGAAAAAAGTAAGAGAGTTGAAGACAGGAGGATACGAATCAGATGTGAACAAGATTGTTGATAAAATTGTAAGATTCATTGATTGCCAAATATATAAAAAAAATAACATTTGTCCCAATTTTTTTACAGGATGAGTTGCAGAAATCGGGAAGCTTTGGAAAGGTTACATGTGGAACACATGATGTGCTTACAGAGGCCTTGGGTACTCAGGAACAACGTGGGTGTGTACGAGGGATGGGTAAATTTATAACGCCACAACAATACTTTTATTTACCCAAGAATGTTAAGTTTTACTTGGAGATTGAGAACGAGAGGGTGGATAAACGAATCAACAAACTTGAAGATGACTTGGAGACACTAAAAAGAGGTGTACTTAATGTTTCTGAAGCCGCAAGTTGCCAAGTAGGGGGCGTCATTGAAGTTGTTGAAAAAGAACCACTGGATGAATCACTTGTATGTCCTTGAAGACAATTATGAAAAATATATTTAAATTATTTTCTTTTTCTACAAACTAACATACTATATTTTGGTAGGATAATTCATGTCTTCTTGCGATTGAATTTGCTTTAAATGTAGTTGCTAAAGGAACCATAATGAAATATAGTGCATCGGGTATTTTGAAAAATATTTGCATTATTACTATTTATATATTTTCATTTTTTAGAAGATTGGATCTTAATTATTTTTGCGTTTATGTAACAGATGAAAACATTGAAGTTATGATGGAAACAATTTTACAAGGAGAAGATTCAATACCCATTCCACTTGAAGAGGAGTTCATTGTGAAGGTCAAAGATGGACTGGGACACATACTAAGTTGGCCAAGACACTTAGTTATTCAATGCACTGACCTGGTAATTTTCACAGATTTAAAACATACAAAGTTTTCATAGATTTGCCCTTGGTTTTCTTATTTTTTCTGATATTTGAGTGAGTTCCTTTTCAACTTCAGTAAATGATTCATGTTTCATTCTGTATTTTTGATATTTTTTGTAGGGAAAAGTGGTGGCGAAACCTGTGAAAAAACATGCAACACCAGTGAAGAAAGATGCAACACGAGTGAAGGAAGGTGCAACACCTTTAAAAGAAGAAATAAGAAGTAATAAGAAAGAAAAAGGGATAGGAAAAATGGTTGATGAACAAAAAGAACCATGTGATGTGGAAGAAGTGGATGATATCGAAGAAGGGAATGGAATAGAAAAGAAGATTAAAAAGAAGGAGAAAGAAAATGTGACCTTGTAAAGAAGGTGAAGTAGAGCACAGATGAAGACAAGGATAAGGATTGAGAAGAGTAGTATTTTGAAAATGACTGCAATGATGGCTGATGGACAAGTTACAAAGGTTGATTCTATAAAAGTGCAGAGTGAGAACGATCTTTTTGGGTACGATAGTTACACGTACTTAACTTGGGATGATTTTGAAGCGGTTCTTACAATGGATGAGCTGACTGGTGTTGTCATTGTGTCTTATAAGATGTAAGTGAAAGAAATTTAATTTAAATAACATTGTATCTTAAAACAAAATTTGTTTAATTTAAATAACAGGGTGTTGTTTAACAAAATGAAGTATGCCCCCCAGAAAGAGATCATCGAATTTGCTTTGTGAACCCGACATTAATATCGCCAAGTACGCGTAAAGGGAAATCTAAGAATATTGATGATGCAAGCAGAGGTTTAGCAGATCAGTTGTCTAGTAGAAAGGGTAATGACATCATCTTTATGCCCTACAATCCCGAATTTGATTTTGACATTTTATTTTGAAAATGACTGCAATTATGTTATTTGACTTAATTTTGTTTGTGTTTTTTGTAGAAGACATTGGGTATTGGGTGTACTAGACATGAAATCGGATACTTGCTATTATTTTGATTCCTTGAGTTCTGGCAATTTCAATATGCAGTTGAAGCAAATTGTTGATTCGTAAGTAATATAAATTATCAAAACATTTGATGTGAATACAATAAACACCTATTTGTTAATGTTTTTTTATAGGGCAATGGTTATGTACGCCACACAAAGTGGATCCAACAAAAGGGTTAAACAAAATTGGGTTAATGTTACGGTCAGCACTTAATTCCTTATTGAAATTACAGTTTTAACTTTATTTTTTGGATCAATTTCAATGATCATTTTATATGTAATTGTGTAGTGTCCAGTTTAGCCCGGATCTACCGAATGTGGCTACTACATGCTAAGGTTCATGAAGGAGATAGTGGAAGAAGGAATTGAAGTGTTGGTCAAAGACAATGTAAGGATATAGCATTATACTTTCATTACTATAATTTAATAGGAAAGGAATTGAAAAAGGATCATTTTATGGCATCCTACTCTCACAATTATAATTGAAATATTAGGTTACATGCAAAAATAACAATGTGCTTTCATTCATTTGAAGGTACAATGCTCTATTATGAAAGAATAACTTACATTTTATGCTTATTTGTTAAATATAGCAACTTACTGTTATAGAATATGTTAATATGCTATTTTTTATTAATAAAAACAATATGCAACATTTTTAACACATCGGGGATGGCAAAGTTGAGTGCACAACTGATGATATCGATGAGATACGTGAAGAATGGTCAGATTTTGTTACGGGCTTCATTTATCGATGATATGTATGGTCTTTTGACAATGTATCCGCAAAACAATGTTATGCCTAACAGTGAAATGCTAGGTATGGTCTTTTGACATGTGGTGTAATGCTAGGTAGTCTTTTGACACCCATGTGTACCTGTTTTTGTTAACTTTTAGTAATGTTACTTAGGTAACTTGACATCTAGTGTAACTTAGGTAATTCCACATATATGTAATGTTGTTAGGTAACTTGTTTGACGTTTAGATGAAAATGAATGTTTTGGTATATATATTTGTTTTTTATTATGTTTATTCACGTTGTAAATGTGTGTCATAAATCCACGTCGTAATGGTGTATAGTCACTAGCAGCTGGAATTTATGACATGCAAATGCGTGTCATCTTTGTTTATGATAGTAGATTTAATGATACACATTGCGAGTCGTAAAGGCACGTCATCATGTTACGACACGCAACGGCGTGTCGTCTTACTTTATGACATGGGCTTCCTTGATACGCTCTGCGTGTCATAAACACGGGCGCCGTAAGGTTACGACACGCAAATGCGTGTCATCTTTATTTATGACAGGGCTTTCCTTGATACGCAACGCGTGTCATAACTGTGTGTCGTAAATGCATGTCGTAAATGCGCGTCGTAAATGCGCGTCGTCTATAGACGACGCGAAAAAGCGTGTCGTCTCTCGTTATGACAGGGCCTTCCATGACGCGCATTTTGTCACACCCCCAAACCAGACGGCGGAAACGTCTGGGGGTGGAGGACTTGAATTGTAGTATCACAACACATGCATCATAGTAATCAAAGTAGAAAAAACCATTGTATTTAATAAAATATAAATATTTACATGTGTTCAATCATTGTATATTGAACCAAAATATAGTTATACAAAAGAAGATATGACTCAACAAAGCTCCATCTTCTCAAAAGCTCGGGGAGTACCTGTGTATTATTTCCCTGAGAATACAAGTAATTTGAAAAGAGAGTATCAACATAAAGTTGAGTGAGTGCATAAATGTTTATGTTTGAAAGAGTATCTCTGTATCTTGTATATTTAAACTGTTCCAGAAAATCCTATATTTTCTGTTTGTATATGAAAAGTAGTTTTATTCCCATAAAACCTTTCTATGTGTATTAATGTTTTGTATTTGTATTACTTATGAAAACTTGTAACTGAGAGTGTGCCTGGCTCCACCAGCTGTTGTTGAAAAGTGTATTGAATCTTTGTATTTTGTATTCTGTAAACTAGTACTTTGAAGGTGTACTTTCGTTTAGTTATTTATACACTAACGTATTGTTAATATCTTTTTAATGAGTTATTATAACCATACTATGACTGATGGCCCGAAACAAACGCTTTGTGCGCGTTTAAACTGGTGATAACAATTGCCACTCATCTAACTGTAGTTAGCAGCCTGAGTGCGCGGTTGTCAATCCCGATATAGATCTACACACGCTTGTTTCGATCCCCGGCTGGAGATTCTGGTTATAATGTCAGGACTTTTCTATGTTGTCTAAAATGAATTAAACAACCTGAATCTAGTGTCTCATAAAAAGCATATAAACGTTACATGTATATTAGTTTGAAAACTCAATCATTATGAAATAATGATTGACAGTATATTCTTTGAATCAAAACCCAATCATTCTGAAATAATGATTGACAGTATGTCCTTGAATTAGTATTTCCAAACATGTATTTGATAAGTGTAAACCTTGATTTGTTCTGTATCAAAACCCTAGTTTCTTGTGTATTCTAGTATACTTGTATCATGAATTATTGTTCTATGTATAAATTATACCTATTATAATTTATATGTACTCCCTGATTGTGTATTTAACCATGTTTGCATGTAATCCCTTGCTCAGCATGTTACAAAGGTAGTTAAACTGATGAAATAACTATTATATTTATATACATATACAATTTTATATATAAGTAAAATTTAAACGACACTCGGACAAGTAACCGGTACTTTAAGCCCACATCCAAACAAGGAAAAGGACCCAGAATGAGTTATTAGTCCTAAGCCTTTTAAATCTTATTTATATACATATATATATACAAATATGAATTTTGGGGAAAAATATAAGATTATAAAAGAGTTTGATGTGTTGAGTATTTTTAGATAAATTAATGTTATTTTATCATGATTTGAATCATGATTTTATAACACAAAGTTCTTGTGTTATGCTTGTATTCCCCCCTTAAAACAGTAGAAATTATGAAAATACGGGGGTATGAACTCACTTGATAGATGCTGAACCGGACAGAGTTTCGTTTCACTAAAAAGAGTTTATTTGTCGAGAAACCGGCTCAAATTGGGCAGAGTTTCGACAGGAGAGAGGTTACTTCTCGGGAATCTCAAGGCTTCGAGGCTTGCTTAGGGTTCGAGACTTGATACCGGGGCTTTAGGGGTTGTATATGAGCTTAGGGGAGTGGAAAATGTGAAAGAGAATGATTTTTGGGGTGAAAAAGTGTAAAAAATCCGGAACCCTCGCATGCTATATATAGTCCGAAGGTTCGGACCCGAAGCTGCGCGAAGGTGACACGCGCCGGACAGTTGGCGAGGCGAGGGGGCTTCTTCGGACCGGAGGCTCGCTGCTGGCTGGCTCGGATTGGACCAACCCTCGGTCCAATGGGAAGGAGACACGTGCGAAGGGGAGGGTCCGAGGTGTGTGCGAGGGGTGTCTCCGGGGCATCTCTTGCGAAGCTGTTCGCTTCTAAGTGGACCTCAGCTGCGGTTCAATCAGGAAGTGCCACGCATGGGTTCGGTCCACTCAGCAGCTGCCACGTGCGAGGGTGACGTGGCATGCGAAATTGCCCGGTTTTTTTCCCATTTTTTCTTTATTTTTGTGCCAAACTTGCGAAAATCATAACTTTCGTATACGAGCTCCGTTTTTGGCGTTCTTTATATGCACGCGTAGGTAAAATCATACTCTACGACTTTCGTTTAGACTTCGTCGGCTAATTTTGACTTTATTTTTAATATTATTATTTTAAACAGACCGGGACGGGAATCCGTTAAAAATTCATAACTTCTTCATCCAACGTCCGTTTTCGTCTGTCTTTTTACCGTTCTACTACTACCGACGAGACCTTCAATTCTCGTTTAGGTTGTGTCGGCTAAAAATCGCTCGATCTTTATTTCGAGTTTTTAGTTGTACACTACTATACTGAAACTTAGAAAAATCATAACTTCCTCATACGAAGTCAGATTTCTCCGTTCCTTTTATGAAAGTTCTCGGTTTAACATAAACTACAACTTTCATTTAGATTGTTAAGGCTAAAAAGCCTTTTATCAAAAATTCAGTTTTTACACTGAAAAGTGTTTTGTCGGTTTTGTCGCGGATTTTCGATTGGTCATAACTTCTTCGTTATAACTCGGATTTTAGTGTTCTTTATGTTTTTGGAAACCTTATTACAATCTCCATCACTTGGTTCATCCCAATTGAGATTGCTAAATAATTTATTTTTGAGGGTCAATTATGTAAATATGCACATTATGCTAAAATTTCTCTTTATTATTATAAAAAGAACTATACATTGACCTAAACTATCACATATGTTTGAAATTACGATTTGTTACATTATCCCCCCGTTAGAGAGAATTTCGTCCCGAAATTAGTATTTCAGGTAGACTAGGGAAAAAGATGTGGATACTTTTGTTTCATTTGATCCTCCCGCTCCCAAGTGAATTCAGGTCCCTGTTTTGCATTCCAGCGAACCTTCACTATCGGGATACGGCTTTGTTTGGTTTTCTTAACTTCCCTGTCTAGAATCTCTACGGGTTCTTCCACAAAGTTGAGGCTCTCGTTTAACTCGATTTCCTGGAGTGGGATCACAAGAGTCTCATCAGATAAACACTTTTTCAAGTTTGAAACATGGAAGGTAGGATGAATGTTATTTAGTTCTTGGGGTAGTCGAAGTTTGTAAGCTACAGGACCAATTCTAGCAAGAATTTCGAAGGGTCCTATGTACCTTGGACTCAATTTGTCACGCTTTCCAAAGCGTATCATGCCCTTCTAGGGAGAGACCATTAACAAGACGCGGTCACCAACCTGGAATTCCAAGGGTTTTCTTCGTTTGTCAGCGTAGCTTTTCTGTCTATCTCTGGAAGCTTTAAGTCGCTCCCGAATTTGTGTGATTTTCTCGGTGGTTTCTCGAATGATTTCCAGACCAGTGAGAGCACTGTTAGGAGTTTGACCTCTAGCTAGCTGCGTGTCACCCACTTTAGCCCAACATAGAAGGGATCTGCACTTGCGGACGTAGAGAGCTTCGAATGGAGCAGCGTTAATGCTAGTGTGATAACTATTGTTATAAGAGAATTCAACAAGGGGTAAGTGAATATCCCATGCTTTTCCAAAGTCTATCACGCAAGCTAGCAACATGTCTTCTAGTGTTTGAATCGTCGTCTCACTTTGTCCGTCGGTTTGAGGATGGTAGGCTGTACTCATGTCCAGCCTAGTTCCCAAAGA